AGGGTGAATATATAGTGCCCCTGTGGAAAGATGTTCTGCTCCTGGACTTAGCTGGGTGGATCTATCCTTTACACTCTCTGCAGGGATTGCAGCTGCAGGGTTACACCTCAGGCATGTATGCCAGGCCTGAGCTGTGCCTGGAGGGGGCAAAGTGAAGTAGGGGAAAGCGGAAGGTCTCCCACACACTCACTGGACCTGGGCTAAGACTGGGTCCGGGGGTTCCTGGAACACTGCAAAATTCCTACTCGGCAGGCGGGGTGGGGAGTTGCTGCTGAGTGGTGGGGGGCGACCCGAGGGGGTGGGAGAGGGTCCGGCCCACTCTGCGCCTGGGCTGGGACTGGTCCCGCCGGCGCAGAGTAGCAGGAAGCTCTCCACACACTCACCGGACCTGGGTAGGACTGAGTTCAGACATTTAAGTCACATGATCTTCAACTCTGGGAGAGCCCAAGAGCTAAGATTTGGCTAGGACTTCAAAGATTCCTCAGCTAGTTTAAAGCCTCCTTGTGTGAGACCTGCTCCAATGAAGACTGTTTTTTAGTCCCTAATTTTGATGGAATCTGTCCACATTCTGAAGTTCTTTTAGGTTACAAATGTTAAGTACGAACCCACGCAATTGACCAGACCAGGCATTCTGATGCGAGTAGATTTATTGGGGGCATCAAGCAGGCTGGCCGTCTAGTGGACCAAGACAGCAGCAAATAAAGGGGACTTTATAGGATCTTTTAGGGAGGGAGATTGTGGGCTGGAACAGCTGAGGGAGAGCTAATCTTGGCAGGCTACCTGGTCTGTGGGGGACCTTTAATGCTAACAAAGGAGAGTTTCGTGGTTGCTTGCCCAGGTCAGAGTCAGGTGGACCTGTTCTTCGGTTTTGGGTTTGGCTCTGCATGGGGCGAAGGGGGAGAGAGTTAGGGGACAGGGTGCCTGGGAAGCCAAGAGGGAGAGTGTTTGGGGCAGGGTGCCTGGGAAACTTTTGAATCCTGACCTATCAATAAGACCTCAATTTATTTATTTATTTATTAAAAAAATTTTTTTTTTATTTTTTGCAGTACCAGGGATTGAACTTAGACCCTTGCGCTTGCCAGGGAAGCACTTATTCCACTGAGCAGTCTCCCTAGCTCCTATCAATAAGAGAATAAAGGAATATAAGATAGATAAAGAAAAAGTTGAAACTGAAAATTTGTCTTCTAAAATTTGGTGGACTGTGGGATCTCCACAGCTGTCCTAGCCAACAGAAACATCCTGCCTCTGAGCACACTGGGAGGGAGCCGATGTGGCACATATGGAGCACTCAGGGGCCCTGGTCTCTGGCTCAGCACCCAGAGAAACACAACAGAGCGCCTCCTTGTATGGGTCTTCTTGGCAGGATGCATTTGCTGTGCTCAGCCTGGCTAGTGAGGGAGCAGGGGACCAACTGTCAGCACTGCCCAGCACTTGGGAAGCTCTTGGGTCCAGGGTATTAACTGAGGGGTGACATGGCCCCTGGGAAGCATGTGCCACACTTCCTCTCCTCTTCATACCAGCGGATGGCAGTGCGCTTGTCTCCGGGTCACTGCTGAGAGCATGGGGTCTGGAGAGACAGCGTGGCTTGCTGTGGCCATGGTGTATAGGAGAGTTGAGGTTTGGATGTAGGTACGACCTTGGACTTTTCCCCACAGTTTTATGTCATTTAGCCTGAGAACCTAACTTACCAAACATTCATTTATTTATTTATTTTTGTATTTTAGGGAAGGGTCTACAGGGTGTTCAGGGCCTCATTACTAGACTGGACTTGTAGTGATCCGCCTGTTTACAGCCTCCCAAGAACTGGGATTATAGGCATGCGCCACCATGCCCAGTCTCAATTGCTATCTCAGCATGGGGGGGGGGGGGCGGCACGCCAGGCCTGGGTTTCGAACCCCCGGCCCCTGCACCTGCTTGTAGGCACTTTAATCTTCTGAGCTATTTGGCTGGCCCTTACTCAACTTTTAAAAAAATTTTTTTTTAATTTTTGGCAGAACTGGGGATTGAACTCAGGCCCTCGCACTTGCCAGGCAAGCACTTATTCTTCAGAGCCATCTCCCTGGCCCCATGTTTTTGTCTTTTATTTTTTTATTTTGCGCAGAACTGGGGATTGAATTCAGGCCCTTGCACTTTTAAAACAAGAGTTTAAGCTAAATGAATTTAGAAAGCTTCTCCTAAAAACTTTATGAATTTTAAAAATAAATGTCTCCTGCATGTGTTCTACGTAATACTAACTACATGCAGAGGCAGGGGATATTTCATGTGGAAAATATTGAGAAAGATTTCATTAGCACTATGCAACCTTGTTAGTTTTTTTGGGACACCTCATGGGATTTAGTCGTGGAGTCCATTTTGGTAAATGCAGTAAGTGGTATTGATATGTCTCTTTTTCAATGCTAGATTAATTTTTTAAATTTCTGTTTTTAGGTTTGAGTGTGAGAAGCTGATCCTTGTTGGAGACCCCAAACAGCTGCCTCCTACCATTCAGGGTTCCGAGGCAGCTCATGCAAGTGGGTTGGAACAGACTCTTTTCGATCGGCTTTGCTTAATGGTACGCACTACAGAGTTCTGCAGGGGTACTGTTTGTGTGTTTCTCCTGTGTGGGTGGTAAGGAGAGGACATGTCAGAAAGGTAATCTTTGGTTTTTTTTTTTTTTTTGGTTGTTGTTTTTGTTTTGCAGAACGGGGGATTGAACTCAGGCCCTTGTGCTTGCCAGGGAAGTGCTTATTCTACTGAGGCATCTCCCTGGCCCTAATCTTTGTTCTTAAACAGTTAACAATGGGAGTTGTTTCTACGGCACTCATCTTAAACATGACTAGGGTTCTATGGTTTTAGCAGGGCTTTATGAAAAACATTTTTTCCTAGTACTTTAGGAATGCATAGGAAATTTATAGCTTTTTTTTCCCCCTGTATTTTTAGGGAAGCATCTACAGGGTGTTTAGGGTCTCACTACTAGATTGGGCTCATAGTGATTCTCCTGTTCACAGCCTCCCGAGAGCTGGGATTACAGGCGCACACCACCATGCCCAGTCTCAATTGCTGTCTCAGCGTGCCCCGGGGGTGGGGTGGGGCTGGCATGACAGGCCCGAGGATTGAACCCCTGACCCCTGTGTCTGCCTAAGGAAGCGCTTTAATCTGCTGAGCTGTTTGGCCGGCACTTAATAGCTTTTGTTTTAAAAACCTAGGATACCTATGATGCTTCTGTGAGCAATACAGAGCTCTACTTCTCATTTTTAGACATTTAAACTGAATTTTTAGTATATTTTAAAGCAGATAGTTCAAATAATGTACACTTATCTAAAGTGAGCAGTGCAGTGGTGCTTGTTGCCGTCACAGTACTGTGATAAGCATTGGGCAGGCTTGTCATCCCTGCCCCTCTTCTCTTGCCCCAGCATCCTCAGTCTGCCTTTTGCTGTGGAATTTTCTTTTTCTTTCTTTCTTTCTTTTTTTTTTTTCGGAACCGGGTATTAAACTCAGGCGCTTGCGCTTGCCAGGGAAGTACTTATTTCACTGAGCCATCTCCCTGGCCCAGCTGTGGAATTTTCTATTCTGGGTTTTCATATAAATGTAGTCACACAATATGTATCCTTTGTTCTGTCTGGATTCTTTCACCTAGCACATGTTTGCAGTTCCCCTTTTGAAATCCATACTGTGTTACTTATTTTTTCCTAAAGTATGTCTGCAGGGTTGTACAAGTATCACCCATCCATTTCCACAGCTTTGAAATCATCAACAGAAGCTTTGTGCTAATTAAAGTCATCCCCTTTTCCTGCCTCCTACTGCCTCTGCTACCTCGGGTCTACTTTTTGTCTGTGAACTTGCCTATTGGGTGCCTCACATGAATGTAGCTACCAATATGTGTCATTTTGTGTCATCTGGCTTATTTACTCAGCAAAATGTGTTCAGAGTTCATCCCTGATGTATCATGTATAGGAATTTCACTCCTTTTTAAGGCTAAGTTATATATATTATAATTTCTCTTGGTGGATATTTGGATTGTTTTGCCATTTTGGCTACTGTGAATAATGCTGTTATAAACACTAGTAGATAAATACCTATACAAATACAAATACACAATAATTCTGCTTAACCTTTCCCAACAGTAGTGCCTGAAGGCTCTGTTCCCTCTATATCCTCACTACACGTATTTTCTGCTTTATTTTTATTTTTGCAGTGGCACCCCTAATGAGTGTGTTATCTTGTGTCTCCCTAGTAAATGATGTTAAACATCGAGTGCTTATTGGCCATTTGCATATCTTCTTTTTCTTCTTCTTTTTTAATATATTTTAGGGAAGGGTCTATAGGGTATTCAGGGTCTCACTACTAAATTGGACTCGTAGTGATTCTCCTGTTTACAGTCTCCCAAGTGCTGGAATTACACCACCACACTCAGTCTCAATTGCTATCTCAGTGCACCCTGGGGTCAGGGCTTGCATGGAAGGCCAGGGGATCAAACTCCCAGCCCCTGGCTGGCCCTCTAAAATCTGTACTTTTTGTACCTTTTGCTTATGCTTTTGGTGTCATTTCCACTAAAGTGTTGTGAAATCCAGTATCAATAACATTTTCCCCAATGTTTCTTCTAAGAGTTTCATAATTTTAGTTCTTTTTTTAAAAAAAAATTTATTTATTTATTTGTGTGTGTGTGTGTGTGTGCGTGTGTGTGTGTGTGTGTG